GGCATTTTAACATCGACAATGGGATCGTCTATAATTTGAAACAAGGCAAATTTGGTGAGCTAAAAATGCACTATTTGCAAAATGAATGAAACCAGACACATTTATTTTATAAGAAAAACAAATAAATAATAAAAACCAAAATAAATATATACAAATAAATAAAAATAAATGAATATATAAATATTTAAACTATCTTCATTAATCAGGTTTAAACTGCAGGCATTTCAACATCGACAATGGGATCGTCTATAATTTTAAACAAGGCAAATTTGGTGAGCTTAAAATGCACTATTTGCAAATGAATGAAACCAGATACATTTATTTTATAAGAAAAACAAATAAATAATAAAAACCAAAATAAATATATACAAATAAAAAAAAATAAATGAATATATAAATATTTAAACTATCTTCATTAATCAAGTTTAAATGAATTTAAGACTATATATATATATTATTTCTTTTCTATGTAGAGGATTTTATTCAAGAACACAAAATATGTACAATAAAACATTGATTCAATACTTGGAAAGACATGTATGACAGTGCTCTACAGTATTCTCTAGAGAATTGTGCAACATTTTTAACTATTCTCTGATGTATAAAACTCATTATTTTAGGTGTGATAAAGGGAAAGGTGATTTTAATAAAATAATAGTCAAAGTTTCCTTATTTGAGTCTTTACATTAGAAAATATACTTGATCAATTTAAAGTACTGTGAAAATATCATTAGTGTTACAGATAATTTAGTTGTCTGTAATATTCAAAAGACTTATAAATATTTTACACTCTCAGTATTATATGCCTATGTAATCACGAATAAATTCAGTTGCTTCAGAGATTGAAATGAACGCTTTGAAATGAAGATGCTTTTGGCAAATAACCATTCTGCTAAATACGAAAACATTTTATTTTTATCTTTTTCTGCCCTTCTCTGATGATCTTTAAAAAAATAAATTTGTTAAACAAGTTATTAGAAAAGTCTCACCTACTTCAAAAATAATGATCTGTTTTTATCAAAAGTACTCCCATTTAATATGGTACAGGTATGGTATATAAAAATGTCTTGATATATTATCAATATACTTTCTATTTTAATACTATCTATCAGTATATTAAGTCTTTAAATCCCTTACCATCATCGGCATGATCAAACCTTCCCAGAACATAGTTGATACCAATCCAAGCATAGACGCCCTCTTGCTTGCCAGAGATCACCTCAAAATGAGTATCAGAGAACAAGAAATCAAAGTCCTTTGGTACATCACGCTGTAAGTCATCAAGAATTGCTTTCTGCTGACTAAAATCACAAATATTAAAAACATTAAAGTCAACTAATAATTAAGGTAAAGGTGCCAAAGCAAATGGCCGAGCGGTTTAGGCAGATGCGCCCCGACCTACATTCATAATATCGCCGCAGGGTTTCAACGGCGCTCACCTATGGTTCTGGTGGTGAAACAATTCTTCTTGGAATAGGACTCTTAACCTTAAGGCCAGTGTACACATTTGCGTGCACTTTAAAGAACCCAGTACATTCTTTGAGAAGAGTAGGGGGTTCCCCGGTGTAATTGTGGACAAATGAAAGTGTGCCGTTTGGCAGCTGATTGGACATGATGTGACCCTTGGGTGAGAAGAAAGTTGTTGAATGAGTTAGTCAATACCTATGCGCATTTAAGCAGAGTTAAAGGCTGCAAGTAACATGTTACCTTTACCGTTACACATACCATCATATTTTCCAACCTTAACCCCTCGCACCTCTACTTAACCCATGGTCCTATTCCCAGCATCCCCCTGTCAATAGTCCTACTGTAAATATGACAATGACTGACATTTCATATGTTGGTAATTGAGAATAATAATAATAAAATAATAAGAATTAATAAAGCGTCAATCAAACGACCGAGGTGCATTATCAAAGGCGCTGTGTAAATTAATGATGGAAAAGGGTTTAAGTAATTTTTCAAATGAAGCAACAGAAGAACAGTTTTTAATGAAAAAGATTTATGGCCAATAAAAGTACAGTATGTAGCAAGATTTTGAACTTAATGCGGGACTCAATGGGAAGCCAATGGAGGTCTCGGAGAACAGGGATGATGTAAGATCAACGTTTTGTGAGCAGCGGAGAAAATGTTATAATTTCCTTTCAGGAAGCATCCTCATTCCTGCAGTGGCTAGGATGTATAGCGGTGTTTCTACATGCTTTTTCTTGGGGATGTGGGATGCAGCAAACTCTAATAATGGTTTTATGTTTTAACTGGAATCTTCTGGATTATTTTTGAAAGTTGATAAACCTGTAAAAATGGGAAAGATTTATTTCATTCATTACTTATAATCAAATGAAGCAACAGAAGAACAGTTTTTAATGTGTGCAGGGAGTGAATTCCAAAGTGTGCGGCAAAGGAAAAAGATTTATGGCCAATAAAAGTACAGTATGTAGCAAGATTTTGAACTTAATGCGGGACTCAATGGGAAGCCAATGGAGGTCTCGGAGAACAGGGATGATGTAAGATGAACGTTTTGTGGATGTTATAATTCGTGCAGCGGAGAATAAAATGAATTCACCTTTCAGGAAGCATCCTCATTCCTGCAGTGGCTAGGATGTATAGCTGTGTTTCTACATGCTTTTTCTTGGGGATGTGGGATGCAGCAAACTCTAATAATGGTTTTATGTATTCACTGGAATCTTCTGGATTATTTTTGAAAGTTGATAAACCTGTAAAAATGGGAAAGATTTATTTCATTCATTACTTATAAGAGCAAATAAAACAATTACAAAAAATAAAACACCAATAACATAATGATTACCACAAATGGTAAAGTAAACTTCAAATTTTGGCTTGAGGTCTCCATTTCTGCTACCCACTACTAACTAGACTGGTCTTTGTAAAAAAAAAACATGTGCTAATAAAATAGCCATTTGCATGCACGCACATATACATCATGGTAAAACTTTCCAATATCTTTAAAATGAAAGCCTGTGAAGTAAAATTCCATCATATAGTAACAGAATTTAGGTTGTTGATAAACCATCAAAATTGACAAAGTTTACAGAATAAGAGAAGGTGTCTTATTTCAGTACTTACCAGGTTTGATTTTTTTTACCACTGGATTTCGATATTTATCTCTCATTTGCTGTATCTGTAGTAATTTATTGTGTTTGCCATCGTGAGGTGGCCAAAAATATACAAACACCCTCGTGCCACTACTCCCTGCATCCAATACAATTCCAAAGTACAAGTTGGGATCATTGGTATCTGTAGCACCGTACTGTTCATATTTTTTTACGTATTTTGCATAGGAAGTGTCTTCATCTATTTTGCGGGTTTCATGATAAATAATTATAGTAGAAGAAAGTAGCAGTAAAATAATAATTATAAATTTGAGAATTGAAGGATAGCAGTTCTTGGTGCACCGTAAGCTGAGGTGCCATACAGCTGGGATTCTGCAATCACTAATAATCCTGTAGGAGACAAACAATTTAAATTTGCAGGCAAGGAAACCAGATACGATATTTACTGTAATACAAAGACATGAGGCATTCCATGCCAAAACCAGCATCCTGATGATGACATAATTAATGTCGAAATATTGAATCCCGACACGATGGCGTGCATTTCGATACTTGGAGTATGTATAATATTTACTTTATGTGAAACTCGACAAACGCAATCTATCGGACATCTGACGCATAGAAAAAATGCAATAGTGAAAAAGTTAGTAACACGTAAGTCAGGTCAATCCTCGGGTCAAACATGAGAGTACGTCAGCTGGTTGCCGCTGAATCGAGCTAAAATATGACGACTTCAAACAATAGTGTCGAAGAACGAATGCTAATTCAAGAAATAGCAAAACACGATCTGCAGATATCTGCTCTTATACAGGTAAAATTATTAGGCATACTTGCTAGGCCTTCTTTTCTAGGCCCTGGTCCAGGTGGTGGATCCCCAGTCTACCACAGGCAAGGGCCCATCCAGGGCCGGGGCATCTCTAGGCCTAGTAGTAGGTAGGCTAGCCTAGGCCTACCTAGCTTATGCGAATAGGACTCAAATCTATTGTTCTGACAACGAATGAATGTAAGAAATTAAGTATGCAACAGAATTAAATAGGCCTTTTCACGAATCGGTAGACATCTTGAAGTGATGACAAACATTGTGATTCAGCTGTGCGTAACCAACAGAAATAGGATTTTCTGACATCATGTTATTTAAAAAATCTTGGTCTTTTAAGAACATTTTCCTGGATACGACGTCCCGTTATGGAGTTATGATTTTTTAAATAACATGATGTCAGAAAATCAGCCCAAAAGCTTATCTTATTTCCGTTGGTTACGCACCACTGATTCGCAATGTTTGTCATCACTTCAAGATGTCTACCGATTTGTGAAAAAGGCCTATTAATTAGTGGCCTGGATAATCGATATACACATACTTTTTACTGTGTATTATAATTATAGTTTTTTTTTTTCTTTATAGGATATTCGTCAAAATGTCAAAAGTGTTGAAGCACTTGAGGATGTTCACATGAGGATAAAGGAAGAATTAAAGATAATAAAAGCCAGGGTTGAGGTACCTATGATAAGTGCTCAGCTCAACATAATACTACACATAGCAAAGCTTTTCAAATACAGTACACAATCAGAATACTATCAAATATTTAAATGGTAACGATGGTAACCATGGTTTACGGCTTGTACATACAGTAGTGAATAACACATGATTTCTGCACTGAAACTTAATACATAAAGGAAAAGGGAAAACTAATACTGTACTTCAAATCTTGTAAAAATACAGATGAGATGTTTTTTCAAAATTTTCAAGAATGAAACCCAATCAATGTAAATACTACTAATCGATTGGTTGAAACAATGCTAGCCTTTCCATTGGAGTCCACGATCAAAACAAGTAAAGCATAAAAAAATTCACCGCACATCAACATCGGAATATACAAAAGAAAGATTTAAAAATGCTATTTTCAATTATTTACTACTGTATATTTAAAGATACATAAAGAAGAGAAAAAAATATAAGATATATTTATATACGTGGGTTCCTCTCATCTGATTACATTGAACGTTTACAGTGTCTATATAAATTGTGCAATACCGGTAAGCCTAAACTGTTCAAGTTTTTTCGAGACAGCCTCTTAAAACTTGCGGTTATTTCATCTTTTTTTTTTTTTGATTTTCAATTTTTATATTCTTAACAATTAGTCATGCTTTACAGTTCTATGTAATTCTTTATTTATTTGTCTTCTCTCCTTGTCTGTTATGTTTTGTGTCCTCTTTCTTTTTTTCTTCTATCGTCTTTCTTTTAATCTGTTTGGGCTCTGTCCCCTCCCTTTTCATTTATTTTAAGCATTTCTTAATGTTTCCTTTTATCAACTTTTTAAAATCAATTTCCTCATGACTCAATCTTATGTTTTTAAAAAATATTTTTAGGATCTTGATATATTGGTGAAGGAACAAGACAATGAAAACCAGAAGATTCAGTGTCAGAATACTGTAGACAAGTATAGAAAACAATTAATAAGGTGAATACTGTATCTAGTAGCAAATCCATAATTCGAAATAGAGGGGGCCCAGGAAGGGACTTTGAATGGTGGAGGGTCAAGTCCACCTCATCCCACCATGGCTGGGGCTGAGGTAAGAAAATTTATGATTTAGGCACTTCTATAATTCCGGAAATGGCAATCTCAGACCTAAATTTAATTACAATTTCCCTTGTTTCTTCTTTATTTTTTATAATGGGGCTCCAAATCCCCCTCCCTGAACCCGCCACTGGTATCTATGTCTCAAAAGTTTCGTTGGCAGTGATTAAGTGAAGAAGTGATCCAGCCAGTCCATGCCCCCCCCCCCACTCTATTTGCAAAAATAATATTAAAAATGGAGAAAAAAAAAATTATGCTTAAATTTTAGTTTGAAAATGGTATATCCGGCCATCTAGAGGTGCCATAATCATAAATTTTCCTACCTCAGCCTCAGTTCTACCGTGGTTGAACTCCCTGGGCCCTCTCTATTTCAAATTCTTGGATCTGCCACTGGATGGTTACACCTGGTAGAATGCTATGATTGTGCTATAACATTTTCTTCTCACTTTCTTGATTGCTTGTCAATGATGTTGGTATAATTAGGAAAGATATTTTTCTTGTCATGCACTGTTTAACATTTGTAGCAATAGCTTTGTTATTCAATTAAATCCCTAGATGAACTATTGAATAATCTAAATTTTTGTTTGAATTTAGGATAAATATACTGGATATATACAAATTTGATATGTATATATGTATTTTAATTGTTAATTATTTTACTACTGTACATTTCTCTTAGCACTCAAACTGAGATAAAGAAAGCCAGACTGGCGTGTAAACTGAGAATTGATCAAAATGAAAAGGAGGAACTTCTTTTAGGTGGTTTAGATCCAGAACTCAAAAAAAGGTATTTTTTTAATATGTGATTGTTACAATAATTGATTATGTATGAGTATACTAAATCACCAAAATTAAGTCCAGTGCCAAGAAAATATTGACCATTGTGGGAATTGAACCAGCGACTTTCAGGGGTCATCATTCCGACAGTGGCGTATGTAGAGGGTGTACGGGAGAGGCATATTCCCCCCACAAAAAAGAAAATACTCGCAACCCCCAATTCCCCCAAAAATCATGCTCAAGTAGTTAGAAATCCCCTAAAATCACTTTTTTTTGCGAGCTAGCTCCCCCTTACCTTCCTATAATATGTAATGGATTATGTCTTTCCTGCTTTTAGGAAAAATAAAGAAAGTCGAGCAAAAACAGCATCTACTATAACAGAAAACCTGATGTCTTTAAACAAAATGATGCAGCAAAGTGTAGAACAGAGTGAAAACACAAATAAAGTTTTAGGTGAGTTATTAATTTTGTTTACATTAAAGATGTTTGTCGTCTTGAAAATAGCAACAGTAAAGAAGTTTTGTGCATTAGAAAATAATGTTTTATTAAAAATTATTAGACTGTACATTATTTAAGTTTCATATCTGGACATCATTGGAGATCAGTGCACATTGAATGTATTCAATATAGAATAAAAATAAGAAATGGAATGAAGTGAGATATATGTAAGTCTTTGTATTTTTATATTACAGACAAGTCATCCAAAGGCATATCAAAAGCGCATGAAGAATTTGAAAAATTACACCGTGGAATTCGCACAAGTGGTAATTTCTTGACAAAGTATGGCAGAAGGGAACTCACTGACAAACTATTCATGTTTCTTGCAGTTGCTCTTTTCTTTGGAACTGTTGCTTATATTATTCAAAAACGATTATTTTGAAAGCAATTGTACTGTATACAAATATAATAAATGTGGTTAAACTCTCAGAATTAAACATTCATTTCTCATCAGCATGGTACACTGTTTTTATTTGTTGTGAAAAGCCAAAATGATGGTTGACAAAAACCTGAAGACTTATTTCCAGTAGGATCCCTCTGGTGGTGAATTCAAACCCCTTGCATTGGATGTTCACATGGGCCATAATGCACACACAATCAACGACTTACTCGGATTGGAAAACGGAAAGACGGTGCGCTATACCGTGTATTATATATATGCATTCCATCTGTTCACCTACAACACAAGGAGCGCAGCAATGATCTTGAACCAGGGACCAATGGATCTAGACAGTTCAGTGCACATACCAATTTAGCTTGGCTGTGGTCTGCAGTTTACACTGTTGTTACTTGAACCATTCAAAATATCGGCCTTGTGCCTGGACATCATCGATCATAGTCATGCGAATGGATCCAGAGAAAGAATCATAAATGCAATCTTCTTTGTCTTTTCTTGTGGCTCTACAAGGCTCTGGAAAAAAACTGAAAATGTTACCAGACAATAATGATCTGAATGGTATTTATCTATATAGGTGTACATTTTATAATGCTAACATACAGTATAGGAAATTCATACTTCTCATGAAGAAGTTATGGTGGTTTAAGCATGGACCTATTATTAATAGGTCCATGGTTTAAGCTTGTGGAATAAAACAAGACAAGTACCATTCTTGTATTGATTCATTTACTTTTTGATGGGACTCGACAGCAGTACAGTTGACAACAATCCCCTGCTTTTTCTCAGTGTGATCTCAATTCTTGTAAACACACACAATTTAATTTAATCTCTTGCAAAAGATAATGCACTATAAAGATTATTTAAGGTTATGTAACCCCTACGCCCAAAAAATGTGACTCCAACAGCTTCCACTGGTGTCCTCGCAGGCTCAACGCTGGTGATGAACAACGCCATAGTTTAGTAAACACATGGCATGGTTGAATAACTGCTACGTTCCTCTCTAGAAATATTCCAAGGCCTTGCACACAAAAGTATTTTAAAACATTTTTTTTTTGTGACAGCTCATTTATTCAAATACAAATTTTTCTACACAACATTTAAAAATAAATCCACCTGGCTGAGAAAGCAGTTACAATTATGTTTACATAATTAGGTACACTAGTTCAGTCCCTCTACACAGTCACCTAAACTGAAAGAACTCTCGACTTTGTAGCAAGTAAACTATTTCTTTTGACAAATGACAAAGGTTAATTTCGGAAGGATCCTTGTCTAATAATTTTCAAAATTATCCTCCATAAAATTATTTAAAAATAACTTTTACAAAGTTAGATCAAATAATGCTAAAAAAGAAAATAATAGAATTGTACAATTTTTATACACAAACTACCACAAAATTATGTTAACACAAAGAGAAAAGTAGACACCAATAATACAGGATAACCAAGTGTGCAAGTGTGGTCTTAAAGCCTTTGTATAACATTATCCACCAAGAATACAAGACAGGAAATCTCCCTATTTTATCGGTTAGCTACCAAAAGTTGTATTTCACATACAAACATCTAAAGGGCTGTACATAATTTTTTTAATCAAACAGGGTTAACATTTCTAGATTTGTCTTTAAAAAAGAATCATACAGTACTAATAATATCAAACTCCCAATACAGACGTAGGGATGAAGAAGATTCACCCCTTTGTAATCCTATAATCATGTAATAAATCATAGCCTCCTTTGAAAGCTCTCACCCTGATCAAATACAGGGTTGGGGTCAACTCAAAATTTCAAATTCCAACCTTAAATTTATCAATTCTTAAGTATTTAAATTTACCATATAAAGCCAGGCAACACATTATTCATTGCTTCTTGTGAAGACAAGATTTATCATGTACACTTTGACCTTTGAACTTCAAATAAACTGTAGCCTTAAAAGTATTGCTTATTTACTTTTGCCTACACCAAAATGGTTGATACACACTGCAATATGAATGCATGAAGCCAGTGTACTGGATGTGTACAAAAAGTGCATTGTGATATCCCACATATATTCTGTCTTACAAAATAATTACAATACTGAATTATCAATTCCACCAATTCAAAAATATAGATTCCAGTTGATTTTGGATTTAACAATTGCAATTCTGGGACTGACCCCAACACTATCAAAACAAAAGCTTTTTTAACAAGAGAAGAGGGCTAACTTTTTCTAATGAATCCTTGGTACAGAGATGAACAAAACACACGGGTATAGCGAATCTGATTAGGCATACCTAATAATAATGCATAACGCAAGACACACACACACACGAGAAAAAAAAAAAAAATACACATAAATCAACTAAAGTGGTTCTTTCTATCATTAACAATATTCCTCTACAAATTTGTCACAATAGCTCAAAATTTCATTTACAATTTTGATTATCAACCCGGAAATTTAATAATTCTTATTACAGTATTAACTACAAAATATCTATCAATCATAAAATATAAAAACACTTAAAAGGGAATGATACACAGACCTATTTCTGCAGCAGGTAGTTCTCAGAAATAAACATATTTTTCTCCTACTATTTGGATTTCTTTCGCCTCTTCTTACTCTCTGGTGCGGGCTCCTCGTCAATAACTAATGCTCCTAATTCATCGTCGTCATCTGACGTAGAATTATGGACACCGTTTCCGGTACAAGGTTCATTGGAATTTCCTGATTTTCTCCGCTTTTTTTCCGGAGGAGATGGCACATCGTGTGATGGTTCACTTTTTTTAGCCTTTGAAGACTTTCTACCCGTATTTTGTAAAAGATTTTGTAACTTTTCTTCTTTGAATTTTTCCTGTTGCTTCTTACTGCGTTTTCCTTTCTGAGGTTTAGCGACAGTTTTTGTTTCTTTCACCGGTGGTGCTTCTTTCTCTTTCTTCTGTTTTTGTTTTTTTCCAGATGGCTTTTCACTCTCGTTCTGCTTTTTATCTGTTTTCCCCCCTCCATTGATAACCTCTGGTGTTTCTTTAACATCTGCAGGTTTCAGTTCTTCATTCTTTACCTCCTCTTCTTTCTTTTCTTCCATTTTGGATTGTGGAATGCTTTCTTCAATTAATTTCTTATCGTCTATCGAATCCTCTTGCTGTCTTCTGGTCATTTCATGATTAAAATCTTCATCAGAATGTTCAATGCAAACAGTTAGTCCCTCAATCACTTTGCTTTTATCTACTTTGTGGGTATCACAATAGGAATTGGGACAAATTACACACAGCAACTTGGCGACTTTTCCACAATCATCACAGTGATGCCATGGACAATCCCATTTACCTGGTGGTGAGATAGAGAAAAAGTGTTAGTTGACAAATTTTTTGACAAATCTTCATGCTGGTTGGTGTAGTTTAATATGACCACATGCAAGGCTTCTTTTATGCCATGGTGGGGCTGACCAGGAGTGAAATCTCACCATGATGCTTTACCAGAAAAGAAAATACTGCTCTGGAATAAGACTTCCAACTTTTTTGTACTCTACTTGATTAAAACTTGTCATATTTATACTGACAAAATGAAAATATACCAAGGATTTTACCCACTGGCTTGATAAGCCAGACACACATGGTACTGACGGTTGTTGCACAACATAACTCCATGCAGCATGCAACAAATGATTATTATTATTGATGATCTGCTGAGATTGCCACCGAAAATCAACAGTTAGCGTCATAGTGACAGGCTCCCACTGAAAGCGAACATGGATTTGTCAGGCAATGGTCACACTTGTCGGCTCATGCAATGTGTGACCGAGTTTAACATTTAAAAGTGCTGCCTTCAAGAGAAAATTGAATTTACCGTTAGTACTAAGTAAAGCTTTTATATACTTCACCTACCATATGGTTTTTTCTCCAGTTTTAAACAACTCAAATGGTACGCTTTGGGACAAGTTTTCCTGTCGCACATGATCAGTTCACCTCCTTCCCCACATCGGAAGCAGAAGTCTTCATGTTTAACTTTCATCTCCAGCTTCCGTTTCTTTTTCTTCTTTTTATCTTTTGCTTTCTTTGATTTCTCTTCTGTTGCTTCAGCAGCTGCAGTCTATGGTTGAAAAATATATTTATTTTAAAAATAGAATACCAAGATACACAATTCAGCTAAGGCCCACACTTTGGATTTTGTTGCTAAGCTGAGCCTTTTGTTTATACCTTGTCTAGCGAACCCGCCACCTGCCAATTATGATTTGGAATAAAAATACAATTTTATTTTTGGCCAATTACCACACCTGGAAATGGAAATTTCAGAAAGAAATGAAGTCTTACTTTTATTAAACCCTCCGCTGCCTTGAAATCTTCAAAAATAAGATATGTATATTTCTTCCTATTTATATCAATTTAAAGCATTTAATCATCCCATTACTACACTGTTTACATTCACTATTAAAATTTTATTTTTATTTTCTCCTCCGTCTGATGTTTTTGGCAAAACCATTTATTATATAAGAAAAAATTTCATTTTACTTTTTTTACGCCCTCCTCTTCCGACGATCTTTAAAAAACTAAGGTCACGAAACAAGGTATAAAAAAGTCTCGCCTAAGGTTCCATAAAATGACAGCCGTAATGTACAGTGTTAGTGGGACATGCACATATTCCTGGCCTAGCCTAATGAATAAAACCTTCTGAATGATTAAATATTATATTTGAGTTCTGTGTGTGTGTTTCTGTGGTGGAATGATAAAGCCCCCTCGATGCGTGAAGCATTTTCACAATTCATCATTAAACAGGCAAGTTGGATGGCTGAGCCTTTAAAGCAGGAGCACCATAATAGTCTTCCTGGATAAGGACTATAAACTGTACGCAATTAACATTTCGATGAGATTTGATTGACAGATAAACCGACTAATCAGCGAGCGTCATTTAGTCATGTGATCAAAACTTTTTCTCGGGCATTTAAATTTCCTGAGTTAGACAGCTGATTTAAATGCAAAACATACGTGAGCCTAGGCCTAGATATCTATGCTTGGTTATAGACACCAAGATTTACACGAGCAGTGCGCATCAGTGACTTGGCCTTTGCCGACAACAAGGTTGACTGAAT